AGAATCTTTTGGACTCAATCAAGAAGGAAGATGGAGAATGGATTCAGAATGATAGTGAAATGAAGAATGAGGCCATCAGTTTTTTCTCTAATATTCTCTCCTAACGAGCTGCCTTCATATACTTATTCCGGATCTGCAGATAGATTCAAATTTGAAGATTCAGAGGCGTCATGGCCTTGTAAAGTTAATATTCCAGTGCTTCCAGAACACCATCAGAGTTTATTACTCAAGCCATTTTCGCATAAGGAAATTCAAGAAGCTGTTTTTTAGTTACCTGCTGATAGTACGCCAAGAGTTGAAGGTTTTCATGCCCGGTGTTTTTCCAGAGAAATTGGGATCTCGTGAAGGACGATATTATTCAAATGGTTATACATTTTCAGGACAATGGGTTCATGCTGAAGGAAATGAATAGATCAGTACTCACCTTGCTTAAGAAATGCCCAGAAGCCGCAAGCTTTAGAGACTACTATCACATCAGTCTGTGCAATGTAAGTTACAAAATTATTTCTAAGGCTTTATGTAATAGACTAAAGCAAGTTTTGGATGATTATGTAGCGCCAAATAAAAGTGCATTCTTGACGGGGCGTTTGATTTCTGATAATATCTTAATTACTTCTCAAGTTATCCATAAAATTCAAAGCTGTAGGAGAGGCGAGACCCGTTGAGCAGCATTAAAAGTTTACTTTTCAAAAGCATGTGATTCCATATCTTGCTCCTTCTTGGAAAGTGTATTGCGTCGAATGGTCTTCCCTGATTCCTTTATTACTCTAATTATGCAATGTGTTTCTACAGTCTTGTACCAGGTGCGATTTAATGGCCAGTTAACAAGGCCTTTTAATCTTCATCGAGGACTACGACAAGCTGATCCTCTACAACCATACTTACTCATCATATGTGCAATTGTGCTCTCGTGCTTCATTAACCAGTTGCAAGATATTCGTTGGTGGAAGAGGATCAGAGTAGAAAGAGGATCCATGAAATTATCTCACTTGATGTATGCGGATGACACTTTATTATTCATGCAAGTGACTAAGGAAAATATGGTGCCGTTAAAAAGGGAGTTATTAGAGTTTGGTGAAACTTCTAGGCTAAAGATTAGTTATAACAACTCTCTATTTTTATTTAGCAAGAAAGCGTCTTCACAGATCAAGCATCAATTCTCTCTATAGATAGGAATTCGGTATGCGGATGCTCTTGGAAGATACTTGGGCGTAACTGTCGACGGTCCTCACACCAAAGCCAGAATCGCCCAGGATCTACTTAATAGGTTGGAAGGGAAGGTTCATAATTGGTCATCGCAGCTATTGTCGCAAGCGGGGAAAATGACGGTGATCAAATCGGTTGCTTATTCATCGATGACATACTGCCTATCATGTATTAGATTGCCTTCAAGCTGGACTGCTAAATTGGGCTCGTTGTGTGTTTCCGGGGGTCTTCTGATACTGGGAAAAGATTACACTTGAGAGCATGGAGAAAATTATGTTCACCTATGCAAGACGGATTAGGTCTTTCAGGGATTTAGATGATGCCCTACTTGCAAAAAACCTTTGACGCACTGTGCAAACAAAAGAGATGAAGTTATTGAAACGGGTTAGGCAGGATAAGATCTTGTTTTCAAAAGAGGGCGAGGTTTTTTCTAGGGGTTCAGGCTCATCTCGGATATGGAAAGGTATCTTGGAAACTAGGTATTTGATTGAACCGTTTCTACGATGGAAAATTGGTGCTGCTTCGACAATCCCAATCAAACACCATTTATGGTGGCCTTTGCCGTGTTCTCCGCCTAGTGTTATTCACTGGGTGTCTGATTTGATTAGGCAGGATGGGGAGGGATAGAATATGTCCAGGGTCGTACAGTTATATGGACAGGACATTTGAAGCCGAATCCTTGCTTCGACCTTTTCTTATTTGGGCAGGACTGATCATCTTCATTGGTCACCAAGTATAGACGGGGAATATTCTATCAGGAAAGCTTCAAGGCTTCTTACTACTGCGAATATTGACGCAGGTCCATCTCATTTGTGGGAAACCTTATGGCGGATTCCTTTGCCTTCCAAAATCATTATGCGAGGTTGGAGACTCCTAAATGAAGCATTACCACTTGGATCTGTTTTGAAACACCACCACCTGCAAACAAAGGCCGAGTGCCCCTGTTGTGGAAAACTGGAAATGAAGAGGAAACAATTGATCTTTTATTTCTTCTATGTCCATGGTCAAGGGCCTTTTGGTTCCTACAGCCTTTTTCACTAAGGTCTCATGAAATATCTTCACTGGGAGTAATTCGGTGGTTGAAACAATGGCTTTCACAGTAAGATAGAAGAGACGGTAACTCTGTTTTAGTCACTCAAGTGATTCTCGTTGTGCTATATATCATGTGGGATCATAGGAATGCAGTGGTTCACAGGAAACAAGTGCTAACATCTGAAATGCAAAATATTTCTTTCATGACTCAGACACAAAGGACTTGGTTCTCATTGCATCATCAAGTGCAGTCGCGTGACTGGATAGTGGCTTGGAAGTTTGTTTTCGTCAAGCAGCAACCCATCAACAAAGTCATCTCACATATCGTAATATTCCACGACGGTATGTTTATTAAATCATTAAACTTTGATAATAAAGTCTTCTCATGCAGGTGGTGGTGGCTTGTAAAGATTGCGGAACATGTTCATGTGGATTCAGAATTCTGGTCTACTACAATGCAATGCATATCACCTCACAGTAAGATTATGAAATCGGAATACGAATTGTGAATCAGAAAGCCTATTTTTCAGATCTTGAATCAAAACGTATTGTGAATCGTAAGATCCCTGAACAATTATTAAAGATAAGATATAAGTAATTTTATAGAAGAAAATATCAAAAGTTTGTAGATATTAGGTTCCATACACTTCCCAAAAAATCAAATAATGCCAATACATATCAAATTTCAACAACAAATAATCTCCAAGATTAGGCAATAAAAAATTAGGGTTTTGATTAATATTTGATAAGTTGAAAGTAATAAATGCATTGGAGAGTATTTATACAGCAAATTGCCTCCTATAAATAACAAAAAAATCAAAAAAATAAACAACAAAAAAAGGTTTTTGTTAACACGACACTGTCTGAATCGTGTGATTCTAGTGTGAATCGCTCAATTTAGGCAACTCATATCTTCTGTACTTTTAATGTAATCAAGTTATGGATTTTAACATGAACGAAACACCTTTAACTGCAGCTATGCTAAAGGGATTTTAATATGCAAATTTATATGTAAGATCAAAGCATTTAACTGCAATTCACCATTGTTTGAATTTATCTCATTGTGCTTGAATCAATAGAAAAAAAAACTTATCTTAGGAATCAGACTAGTTACATTACTCATCCATTTTATTAACCAAAAAGAAAAAGCCAAAGTTTTTGTCAATCTATCATAAAAGACTCATATAATACATGCAAGTAAGCGTACCATATCAGCTCCCATCTCTCTAGTATACAATGCATCAGAATTCGAATTCTGCAAACATACCATGTATCTAGACTTGCAATGACCTAAAGATATATCCAAATACAATTCAACTCACTTGTGTTTCTAATACTAAACATTTGATAAATTGACAAATTAGAGAGAGCCAAATTTGTGATAACTAGTTCGAAAAAATCAGTTGCCATACATTTCTGCTACAGAATAAACAAATATCATGAGAAATAAAATTAAAGAGGGACGTAAACAATATATTTCTACAGTGTGTTTACATACTATAAAACCGCAGGCACAGGTCATTTAGTCATGAAGTTTGTAGCAACTGATTGATGAACTCAATTTTCATCAAAAGAAATGGTCTGTGTTACCCCCCCCCCCCCCAAAAAAAAAAAAAAGATAATTGTAAAATTTTAAATTATGTCATCACTTAGGTTAAAAAGGGCAATGGGATGTCAGAGCTTTTTTACTCATAAAGTTACCTCTTAGACTTCAATCCTTCATCATGAATCCAACACATGATAAAAAGTATATAACATATTTGCATCACTGGGAAGTTTTAATTCGACAAAAATTTGACCCCTTTAGAAGCTATAAAATAAAAATGTAAAACCATTTGATCTCTCTATCGTGTTGCATGGGGTTATTATGCTAAAATATAAACGATGGATGCAAAAGAAAGACCATCTGAAGCTATGTAATAAGAACTGACCAAGGGTTTGGATCTTTGACTTCAGTCAATTCAATTTGCTCTCGAGAGCCAATGCATCAAAGCTGTCAACCATGGTTACTTGGCAGTGGCTCATCCCTGAGTTCCATTCATCAAGCAACAATTGCGCAATGGCAGATTAAATTAGGAAAATAATCTTCTCTATTTTCTCTCCTTCCCCTCTCTCAATCTCTCACACCACTTCAGTCTATCTCTTTAACTCTTCTCCTCATCCGAAAACGTATCCAGCTACACTTGTGCACCTTGTGCAGACTGACAGTGACACAGGAGGATAGAGCCGCATTAACATCATGTCCCCACTTCTTCTTTTGTCAATGCATAGTTCAATCTCTCCCTCTACTTGATTAAATCAAAAGAGTATTTTGGCAGCATAGAGGAGCCTTTAATCCCCAGATCCCCTCTGGCCCCAAAATAGAATCCCAAGATCCATGATCCTCATCTCCCCTTTTATCATTGAGACATCGACTACTTCAATGGCACCACCCTCTACCCTATCTTATTTCTAAAATTGCCCTTGTTGAACTCAAAAATGTCAACACTATAGGGGAAACAGATAGAAAATAGAAAGAATGAGGAAGAGAAGTTTCAGGTTGAACTGACAAGAAAGATGAAGAGGCAAAGTATATAAAATTTTAAAACTGGAAGAGATAACAAGGAAGGAAAAGATTGAAAAATAAAAAAGTGAAAGAATAACGAAGATGGAGGGAGGGAGGGAGAAAAGGAAGGAAAAAGAGCATGGACATGGAAAGGAGAAGGGAGGAAAAAAGAACATTTGCAAAACTAGAAGTGGAAGCAATGGAGGAAAGCACAGGAAGTCAAAAACCAAAGCAGCAGGGTAGATTGGGACCCATAAAAGGACAAAGGTGTAAATTCACTGTACAAATATAAGATATTGGACCACACCTGCCACCACTCTCTATCTGTCTCCTCAATAAACCATCCAGTGCCTGTAGAAAATACTCGGCTGTTACATTAGTCATATCCTACAAATCCATTGCTTAAATGGGTTTGTTTTCTAATGGAGTCTTTGACCCTGACCTCACTTCAAGTTTCCTCAGGAATGGGATCCCCAATTTGTCCATTGAATTCAATATTTCTTCAGCTTTGCTTTCCTTACCAGCAGTTTTGTAGAAATGTACAGCAGCACTCAACATGAACCTGTCTCCTTTTATCGAGTTGCTTATACTTTCAAAGAAGTTAATACCTTCTTGCACATGCCCATGTTCCAGGTAACCTCTCAGCATTGTTCGGAAACATATTAGATCAGGAGTTAAACCAAAAGACAATAGTCTCTTATACACCCTGTTGGCTTCATCGATAAGCCCTGCTTTTGTGAATGCAGAGAGTAAAATGTTAAAATGGGCACAGGATGGCAAGACGCCTTTGTTCTGCATAGCATTAATGGTTTCCTCAGCTTCTGAGTACTTCAGACTCTCTGTATATGCCCGAATAAGGGAAAGATAGGTAAGAGAGTCAGGTGAACAGCCTTGTCTTTGCATAGCTTGGAAAAGTTCCACTGCTTCGTGAAGGAGCCCCGCATTAGCGTATACATTGATCATAATATTATAACTGATCTGCTTTTCCCCAGCAAATGCAAAAAATTGCATTAGGACAGTTGTAATCTCAAAATTAAAATATACAAGGAATATAAAATTTGAACTATGTGCTACGTTTCAGATATTGGAAATGTAGTATTACAGAACCACATGATCCCCTCATTCACGGTATGTGATTACAACACAGCTCCGCACAAGGATCCTAAAGTTAGTGCATTGAATAAGAAATTCCAAAATATTGAGCGTAGTGATCAAAGGAATCCTAAAATTAGTACACTGAAAAAGATTGTCTAAACCTTCAGAGAATCAGCCGTAAACAAAAACAGAAGTTATATAACTCTGAAGGACAAAGTTTATGTTTTTACTTGGCTGCAAAGGCTATTAAAGTAGGTGGCCTTTTGACAGTTCTCTAAATGATAATTGCCAATTATAAACTTCTGTGAAATTAGAATGAACCTTGCAAATTTACCTTTCCAGGTTTTATCCCTTCTTCATGCATTTTACTGAACAGCAGTGAAGCATCATGTATCATACCTATGAAAATAAATAACGCAGATTACAGCACGAAGTTACCAACCATATCAAAGTAATTTTGTTTTTCCTTCTTTTTTCCCCCCTATTTGATGCAAATAAAAACCAGGGATCTTTCAACAAATGACTAGCGCCACTGAAGCAATAGTTTATTGGCCAATCAATAGCCATCACTCTATAGATTTTAATTCTTGTAACAGGGTTAATGTGTGGATATATTTTGAAAAAGTCAGTTCAGTGATCCAAAAGTGTTTAGACGATATAAATAAAAAGTGCTTGTAAATATATAATTACCGAAAAGGACATGGGTTTGATGACATGTAATTTTTGTTATCTAAAACTTGATTTGTTGGAAAAATATATAAATAACATGAATTTTAATATGTTGAATAATATATATAAATAAAAAATGTATAAATAATATAAAATCCAAAAGCCAAAAGATGCCCAATAAAGTTTTGCAAACTATCGTTTGAAATGAGTTTCTAGAAAGAGCTTTTAAAACCCAGACAAACTTTTAGCAAATGTTGGTTATGGAAATGGACTTTTGGGGTTTAAAAGCTGAAACCAAACACCCCCAGCTATATATGTCATTGTGTTTAAAGAACACATGACAAGAACAAGATGGCTTCCTGAAGCTCCATGTCAATAATATTAGATACTATGTTATGATTAGAGAAAATCATATGAAAAACCATAATAGGCCACTACCAGCCTTCCCGTAATAGCCAATCAAATTCATGTATGTCTTTTCATCCAAAGTCACAGGCAATGTACGAGCCTTGCCGAACATCTCTACAGCTCTATCCAACTTCTGATCTTCCCCATAAACACTGTAATGAAGAGCTCAACAATTTGATCAAAAAGCGACAAGAGATGGGAAATGAATAATTGTTAATAAATATAGAGAACACATTATCAAAACTATTACCTTATCATTGTGTTAAATGTTTGAATAGAAGGAGCAACTTTGAAGGAACACATGTGCTCATAAATACTAGAAGCAAAATTAAGTTTTCCTGACGAATAGACACTGTATTAGCAAGTGCAGTCTCTTTTATCTTCTAATTCAGATAAAATGTTTGATATCAACAGCATTTTAATCTTCCAATCTAAATGAAATGATTGATATCAACCTGCTTCAAGCATGGCTTTGATAAAGGTGTTATAAGCCACAGTATCAAGCTCTATGTTTGCTTGCAAGCTTCTTCTGACAACACTTTCAGCCTCCTGATGTTTTCCTGAAGATTTATGCATTGGATTATCAGTATTGCCATTAGAATATAAATACTAAAATCAACACAATGCTCTCATACTTTTCATACTTTAATTCTCCGAAACTACAACACAGGACCATATTAATCACAAAGATCATATTAGTCCGTGTTTGTTTGACATTACATGTACTATCAGGAAGTAAACTAAGATTTTGTCTTCCGTCACCACTGGACCTTATGTTTTGATCTTTCAAACAAAGCCAGTTATTTCAAATGATAAAATTAACTATTAGACCTGATTTATAAATGTATTTCAAGTAATAGGAGGCTAGCATTCCCATGAACCTCTTGATAAATTTGAGTACTACATAAATGTTGAAATTGGAAAGAAGCCTTGCTTACTTGAGCGGACCAAATTTCAATTTACGGGGGAAAACTGCTGAAGCTTTTTACTTCAGGAAAGCTGCAATGCTATCAGGCTCTAACTTAGGACGGGCATATATACACGGATCAGTAAATGATGACTTGCGGTTCTTTACAGACAGTCAGACATAATCAGAACTACAGAATGGTGAGAACTAGTGTAGAGCTTTTTCAAGGCTTAGCAGATCATAGAAGACACATCGCCTTGACAAATCCATCTTATTAATTGAACTATATTGAGAACAAAGAAAGCATTGATTGCATAAGACAATATAAATTTAGAGCCTGGTTTACTCTACAATTCTACAGTCTTACCTCCATTAGTCAAAGCATTCACAAGAATGCTAATTCCAACAGCACCCAGATCATGCCCTCCCTCTGTTACTTGCTCGTAAAGTGAACATGCCTCACCTTGTTTACCACATTTTACATATGCATCAATCATAGAATTATATACTAGTTCACCAGATCTATGAGAATTGGTATATTCTCTGAAGATATCTTCTGCCTGTTTCAGCATATGTTGTTTGCCATAATAGCTAATCAAAGAAGCTACAGTAAAATCTTCCAATCTTCCAAGCTTCATTACTTGATGACTGATAGTCTCTGCTTTGCTGATTTCTCCTGGGATTAAAAATTAAAAAAAAATTCTCAAGTTTAAGCAATTTTACTGCAAAAACAGATGAAAACTCAGCAAGATAGTATTCAAATGCTATGAAGCTCACAAACATACGATACTTCCCCCACAAACACACATAAATCGTATAGATTGTGTGAATATCAACTTTTAATTTTTCAAACTTCTCTCACTCGATGATGTCCTTCCAAAATCATATTACGTATGATACAAACAGTGCATTTAAATTCTCTCATACCCTCTTTGACAAAGTTGATAATAAGCTGATTAACCGTATTTGACCCAGCAACAGAATCAAGAAGTAACTCCAATATCACTTTTGTCCTGCTATAATTTCCAGTTGTCAGATATAAACTGAGCATTAGCCCAAGAGCTACAGTGTCAGGTTCATCAATGTCCATGAGTTTGTCATCAGATTGTTCATGTCTATTGTGTTTGCTAAGAACCCAATAAAACACCCGGAAGAATTTATTATCTCTAAAAGATTCAGTCTCAGCCATACGCATTGTCAACTCTTCAGCTTCTAGTACCATTCCCTCCTTACAATAAAACTTCATCACTGTACGATAAAGCTTCTCATCAAAATGCATCTGATTCTTTCTTACTTGGACAATAAAATCCTTGGCCTTATCAATCAAGCCAAGTCCCACATACAGGTTGAGCATATCATTACAAGAACCAGCATCAGGCGGTCCCATCTTCTTAAGTCCTAAAAATGTTTCTTCAGCGGATATTAAATCTTCTTTCATCACATAATACTGCAATAATACAATATATGCAAATCGAGAGAACCCTAGGTTTCTAGACTTCATGAGTTCAATAGTTTCTGAGGCCTTGTCTACATTTCCTGATGTAAGATGGACTTGTGCCATTGCTAAATATGTTTTCTCATCAGTGAGTAGGCCCAGCTGGTTTGCCTCTTCAAATGTTCTCTGAGCATCCTCATTTAAGCCAAGCTTTCCATAAATTCTTATAAGCAAACCACATATGACTTCATCAGCAGGAATATTTTTGCTCACCATTTCTGAGAAAAGGGAAAGGGCTCTAGAGTAGTCCTCGTATTTGTAATACAAAGATAGGAGTGAAGCACAGGTGTAATTACTTGGAATTATTCCTCGAGATCTAATATCCTCATATAGTCTTACTGCTTCATCCTTTTTGCCATTTTTCACACTTAAGCTAATAAGTAGGCTGTAGGTTACCTCCTCAGGAACAAATCCACCTTCCTTCATTTCTTCAAAAGTCTTGAAAGCATCTTCACGCAATCCTTCTTTGATGAATGAGCTGATGACAACCGTAAAAGTGAAATTATTAGGCATCACCTCTTTTCCCTTCATGTCCCTCCATATCTCCACAACCTCCCTGTGCAGTGATTTCTTTTGTAGAGAAGACAGCATAAAGTTGAAGACAGTGACAGATAATACAATACCCCTTTCTTTTACTGCTGAATAAAATGACAACATAGCCTTATGGCGCCCCCATCTGGCATATGAACAGAGCATAGTGCCACAAGCAACTTCATCTGGTTCACAGCCTGCGTCCAACATCTCCAAGAAGGTCTCTTCAGCAAGTTTAAGCTTTCCAACTTGCCCATATGCACGCAATACTAATGTGTAGACAATAACACTTGGGCGGTAGCACAGCTGTTCAAGAACCAAACAATGATTAAATAGCGTTAAACTGTATGCTTTGAAGGACAAAAGGAACAAAACAACAACAAATTGTAATGATTTCAGGTAATTCTTTTCTATTGGTGAACTGAGTTCAGGTCATTAAACATGTCAGACTCTTTAGGTTTACTTAACAACACCTATCCAAAAAGACACGAAGACCCATCATCAAGATATCAAAACTAAGTGACACCAAAAGGAAAATGAAAACCCAACCTGTAATTTCATCCAAGAAAAGAAGTCCCCGACTTGCCTCCACCCTTTCTGCTCTTTGAGAACAATGCACATCTCCCTAAAACTAAGCTTGCCCACAAATGATCCCATCACCATTCTCATATCGTACTCTCCCTCTGCCTTCTGGGACAGAGCTCGCACCTTCTTGATAGCGGCCACTACGTGTTTGCCGTACAAATGGCCATTCCTATCATCCTGCAAATACTGAACCATCTGCTCTGGGGTCCTTTTGATCCACCTCGGCGTCTGTGCTTGTGGACCTTGGTTCCTACGCAAAACACTCAGGTACTGAGCTTTGGCCTTGATAATGCGACGAGCGTTGTCATCCGACAAAGGCTTCTTGGGATTCCTGCTCCTAGGCTTTGGACTAGTAGGGTCGCCGTATTTGGGAGACCAAGGGTCTGGCTGGACTGAGGAGTGAACGGGCATTACCTTACGTCCAGTAAGGGGCTTCTTCTTCTTCTTCTTCAAGAATGTTTGATTCAATTCAAACGAACGAGGTAGGAGTGGAGGAGAGAATATGAACGAGGATTTGAGAGACTCCATATTCGAGCGGAGAGTGACGAAAAAGAACTTCCTGTCACTGCTGGATAGAAAAGGAAAAGAAATTAAATCCGCATGCCGTGCTCAGCGAATCTAAAGCGTGCTCATTCCCAAACGTTGCGGTTGGGGATAAGATGATTATTTTAAAAAATAAGTTCTATTAATTTTATTTTTTACTTATTTGGATTCCCTTATATTTAGTACTTTAAAATATTTTTTAAGAGCACTTAAATAGAATCAAAATTATAATTTTAAAAGTATTTTTATAATATACAAAATAAATATGTGGAGGAATTTTTTTCAATTTATGAAAAAGTACTTTTAAAAAATACTTTTCATGATACCTAAACATCCTTTTAGTGGTACTTAATATTCTAAATTAATTATTTTTTAATGAATTATGCATCCTAAAATATTTTTTCTGTAACACCTAGTATTCTAAATTATTTTTTAATGAATCTATCATCCTAGAGTATCTTTATAGTAGCAACCACCCAATATCCTAAATTAATTATTTTTTAATACATTCAGTATCTTAAAATGTTTTTACAGTAAGACCCAACACTCTAAATTAATTTTTTTTAGTAAATCAAGCATCCAGAAATAATTTTTCAGTGGCATCCAATGTTATGAATTAATTAATTTTGGTACATTCACTTCTTGAAATATTTTTCAGTAACACCTAATATTCTGAAAAACTAATTAATTTAAAATATTGAGTGCTATCAGAAAAATATTTTAAAGTGCTAGATACAAGTTAATCTAAATAAAAAAATAAAATTAATAGAAATTATTTGGGGGGAAAAAAGGATATCTCATCTCATCTCATCCCCAAACCAGTATGTTTAGGGGATGAGCATGAACTCAAAGAAATTCTCCCCTCGGCAAGATGGAGAACCTAACTTGTACAGATTATTAATTGAAAAAATGACCCAAAAAAATGATACTTAAATTTGAAAATACTAAAATGGTTACTTGAATTTGCAAAATCCCAATTTAGTGATAAGTGACCAATTTGACATTTATAAATTTGTTCAAATGACCATATTACCTTTTATTTTATTTATTGTTTTCTAAAAAAGCAAATGCCCCCATTGGTCGGCCAGTCATCGTAGCTCTAGTGCCCGCGGCGGCCATCAGTCGCCAGAGCTCAAGCAACCGATAACAGTTTTTTAAAAAAAAATTTTACAATTTCAGTAAAATAGTTAACAAGTTTTGTAACGCTATTAACAAGTTTATTATAGCAGTTAACAACAGGTTTTCCAAAAAATTCAAAAAGTAGTATTTTTACAACTTCAGTAATGCCGTTAACAAGTTCTGTAACTTTATTAGCAATTATAGTATAGCATTTAACAACAGGTTTTCTAAAAAAAAATAAAAAAAGGGCATGTTTACAACTTTAATAACTACTTTTTTGAAAATTTTTATAATTTCAGTAAAACGGTTAACAAGTTTTGTAATGCTATTAACAAGTTCAGTATAACAGTTAACAACAAGTTTTTCAAAACAACTCCGGTAATGCAATTAACAAGTTCCATAACTCTATTAACAAGTTTGATATAGCATTTAACAACAAATTTTCTAAAAAATTCAAAAAGTGACATTTTTACAACTTTAGTAACGCGGTTAACAAGTCATGTAACGATATTAACAACTCTCATAAAAAGTTGATGTTTTTGATATTAGCTCCCTATGAAAGTTGTACAACAAAACTTTTCTACTTATTAGGCAGTATTAGGCTATTAGCTCCCTATGAAAGTTGTGCAACAAAACTTTTCCACTTATTAGGCAGGCATTATGGTTATGAGAGTTGTTAATATTATTCCATGACTTGTTAATCACGTTACTAAAGTTGTAAAAATGTCATTTTTTTTAATTTTTCAAAATACCTATTGTTAAATGCTATACCAAATTTGTTAATAGAGTTACGAAACTTGTTAATTGCATTATTAAAGTTGTAAAAATGTTACTTTTGAATTTTCTGGAAAACTTGTTATTAACTGCTATACTGAACTTGTTAATAGTGTTACAAAACTTGTTATTCTGTAAAAATGATTAACAAGTTTTGTAACACTATTAACAAGTTCAGTATAGCAGTTAATAACAAGTTTTCCAGAAAATTCAAAAAGTAATATTTTTACAACTTTAGTAATGCAATTAACAAGTTCCATAACTCTATTAACAAGTTTGATATAGCATTTAACAACAAATTTTCTGAGAAATTCAAAAAGTGACATTTTTACAACTTTAGTAACGCGGTTAACAAGTCATGTAACGATATTAACAACTCTCATAAAAAGTTGATGTTTTTGATATTAGCTCCCTATGAAAGTTGTACAACAAAACTTTTCTACTTATTAGGCAGTATTAGGCTATTAGCTCCCTATGAAAGTTGTGCAACAAAACTTTTCCACTTATTAGGTAGGCATTATGGTCATGAGAGTTGTTAATATTATTCCATGACTTGTTAATCGCGTTACTAAAGTTGTAAAAATGTTATTTTTTTAATTTTTCAAAAAACCTATTGTTAAATGCTATACCGAACTTGTTAATAGAGTTATGAAAATTGTTAATTGCATTACTAAAGTTATAAAAATGTTACTTTTTGAATTTTCTGGAAAACTTGTTATTAACTGCTATACTGAACTTGTTAATAGTGTTACAAAACTTGTTAACCATTTTACTGAAACTGTAAAATTTAAAAAAAAAAAAAAGTAGTTACTAAAGATGTAAAAATGCCATTTTATTGAATTTTTCAGAAAATTTGTTGTTAAATGATATATCGTAGTTGTTAATAGAGTTACGGAACTTGTTAACGACATTACTAAAGTTGTAAAAATGTTACTTTTTGAATTTTCTGGGAAACTTATTGTTAACTGTTATATTGAACTTATTAATAGCGTTACAAAATTTATTAACCATTTTTCTAAAGTTGTAAAAAAATTTTAAAAAATTGTTGCCGGCTATCGGAGCTTCGATGACTGCAACTGCTGCTGGCATCGAAGTTTCGGTGACCAGCCTGCCAGTGGGAGCATTTGGTTTTTTAAAAGACAATAAATAAAATAAAATGCAATATGGTCATTTCAATAAATTTACAGATATCAAATTGGCCACTTATGACTAAATTAGGATTTTGCAAATTCAAATGACCATTTTGGCATTTTCAAGTTTAAGTATCATTTTTGTGTTATTTTTTCTTATTAAATTTTTCAGAAAATAAGGCAAGTTCCATTGCATATTTCCGAAGGCCACTGTTAAAATAATGTTAGGTTTAAGGTTTTAATGATAACAAGTGAGTAATTTGTGATTCAGCATGTTGATCGATCAAGGTTTTATCGATAAGCTGATAGATAATAACTCTATCTAATTAAGTAAACTCAGCAGAAACTTTGATCGATAATGTGTTAGATAATGTGTTGATCGATCATTCTTAGTTGTATATGAAAATCTAGGATAAATTATTGATCACTTGATCGATAATCGAAAATATAAAATTAATAGGTGTTTATCGATCACATGATCGATAAACTGGTTATCGATGAGAAGACAGATAAATGGTAATGTACTTTACTCATTCTATGTTTTGTTTTATCGCCATTTATCGATCACATTATCAATCAACTATTTATCGATAATATGATCAAACATTGTCTCATAACTCTTCGTGCAGGAATTTATTTTGGTGGTTTATCGATCACCTGATCGATAAGAACATTATCGATCACATGATCGATAATCAACATAACTCTGTCTCATCGTGGCTCTTCGATCACTGAATCGATAATCAGATTATCGATAATATTATCGATAACCATCCTTAATGCGTACATTGCTTTTCACATAACTTGATCGATAAATCAGCTCTTTTGTTTTACAAGAAAAGACCTCTTTATCGATAACATTATCGATCAAGCTTTTATCGATCATCTATTCGATCAACTTACATAGTCTGTGTTTTCACAAAATATACTTTTGTCTACTGTTTATCGATAAGGTTATCCATCATCTATTTATCGATAAAGTGTTCGATAATCAGTGTTTCAAAAGTCATTTCTATAACACTCTATTTATCGATTACCTGATCGATCAACAAGTGTTCGATCACTTGTTCGATCATGAGGCGATTTCAATTTAAAACCTTAAGTCTCGATGTTTCTCAAAATTTATCATATATTTCATTCGAGCTTTTCTCAACCTTCATAAGTGTCTTGTTTCACTATTTAAAGAATGCTAAAATCAAAAGCAACCTTGATCTTCATTGTCTATGCATCATAGTATGATATCACTATTTCCCTTTATCGATCACCTGATCGATAAAGTAATGATCCATAACTTGATCGATAATCTTAGTTCTCTGGTTCAAAGTCTTCACTCAGAATTATAGATAACCTGATCGATCAAGTAATAATCGAACAACACTTCGATCAAGCACGTTCAGTTACTACCTCGTGCATCTGACATTGATTCTAATCATAAGCTATGAATATTCGATTATCAGTTGGTCGAATCTACTCTTGATCTTATTCTACGAAGAATAAACTTATTGAATTAATGTATTTTTGCTGATTACGAAGAAAATCCCAACGGCACTCCAACGGTTGTCCAAGTAGTCTGTAACCTACCTTGTCAGAAGCATTAATGGTGGAAACCGTTGCAACTGGAAAAACACGCAACCAGACTTACAACGGCTAGAAGCTCTTTCGTCTAACGGTTACTAAACAACCTCAACTATAAAAGGCGTGAAGAAGCATTAATGAACAGAATTGAATACGCAAGCTACCCTCTGTTGATTTTTACTGTTGCATTCAATACTCTGTGCTTTCATAACTCCGAGCATCAATGATTATCATTTATTCACTCTGTAAGAAAGTTTATTTACTACTCATTAATCACTTTTGTGTGATACTTAAGGGTGTGGACTCTTAAGTGGGGCTGTAACCTTACGGGAAGTAAGGGGGAGTGATTGAGAGATTCAATTACTGTACTGAGGCGCCAAGAGCCCGATCAATCTTGGAATATAGTGA